TAATACAAACAAGCCTGCCAGTAAAAAGTCACTTAGCTTTCATCAGCCAAACTGCTGACGTCGTCAGAGTAAGGATAAAAAGGAGATCTGGGAGCTCGCCTGTATAGCTGCTTGCCTCTGCGCCCGACTTCTCGAGCGCATCATCAGCCTGTTCCTTTCAATCAGCCATAATGCATTGAGCTGCTCTATGTTCATCAACCTGCCCATGGGTTTGAGGGTTATCCTCTGGTCTTCAATCGCTCTTCTGGCATGCATGTGAGAGCCCGGGGGGTGGTTATTCAACAGTTTCTGCTCCTTACCTCCCTCCCTTTCCGTTTTGGAGCAATCTTGGATGTTGGTTCTCAAATTGTAACTTAGGCGCATTGTCAGGTTACCATCCTCTCCGGAGGTCATCACTGTCATGCCTGTAGTCTCCTCGCCCCAATCCTGCAAGGGATAGCTGTCCGAGCATTTCTGCTCCCTGCCTCCTCCCCTCGTTCCAAGCCGCTTCTGCATGTCAATCCTCCGCCTGCGGCTGTGGTGCACCGCTAATCCATTGCCTCCTCCCATAAAGGTCTTCATCTTGTCTGCAACTCCATCGCCCCAGTCCTTCAGGGAGCTGTCCAATTGTTCCTGCCCCGGCAGGGCGATTGTTCAACCTCTTCTGCTCCTTACTTCCCTCCCTTCCCATTTTGGAGCAATCTTGGATGTTGGTTCTCAGATTGCAACTTGGGTGCTCTGTCAGATTGCCATCCTCTCCGGAAGCCATCGCTGTCACACCTGTAATCCCTTCACCCCAATCCTGCAAGGGATAGCTGTCTGAGCATTTCTGCTCCCTGCCTCCCCCCTCATTCCAAGCCACTTCTGCACGTCAATCCTCAGCCCGCAACCATGGCGCACCACTAATCTGTCACCTCCTCCCATAGAGGGCTTCACCATCTCGCCTGCAGCTCCTTCGTCCCAATCCTGCAGAGAGCTGTCCAATTGTTCTTGCCCCTGACCTCCTTTCCCCCTTGGTGTGAGGCAGTTCTGCACGTCAATCCCCAAGTTGTACTCTGGGTGTGCTACAGATCTGCTATCTTCCCTAGGGATGCCCCCCCCTCATCTGTGATACCGTCACTCCAATCTTGCAAGAGGCAAGTTAGTCATCTCCTTTGTGAGTCGCAACGCTGTTTCTCCCACCTTCTGAGAGTCTGGTAGGCTGGTAGGAGGTCTATGTGCCAGTTGATGGAATGTTCATCGGACAACCAGGCCTTCTTAAGTAAGCGGCCGCCCTTAGTAGTCTCATGAGAAATAGCCTCCATGTTGACAAGGTCAAACATATGGCCATGATTGGCCATATGGGCTCATACTTGTGAGCGTTGCTCTTGCCTTTTAATTGCCAGTTCATGTTCATGGATCCTGGTCCTGAGCCTTTTAGATGTTTCCCCAATGTAATTGTACGAACAATTCTTGCAATTAATTCTGTAAATTACAGAGGATCTTTCGTTGTCAGAGAGTGGCCATTTGGGGTGCATGATCTTGGCACGCAGGGTCTGATCCTGTTTATGGGCGATATTCACATTGTAGGGGGCTAATAGTCATGCTGTGGCCTTGGAGACATCATTGATGTAAGGGAGGGTTGTTCGTATGGTCCGCGTTGTTACACTGGAGTGTGGGCTCCTGCGAGGCTGATATGGTCTGCTGTATCACCTCACAAATTCCATGGGATAGTCCAGTGACTTTTTACTGTCAGGCTTGTTTGTATTAAACAGCCCTATTTATTCTTATCCTGGTGTTCATTTTTCTTTGCAATTGTGTTAATATGTGCATTCCCAGGATTCACATTTTCAATGTTATAAAAGACAATATATATATATATATATATATATATATATATATATATATATATATATATATATAAATTTTGTGGCTGGCAAAGAGTTAGTGGGAGATTAATATAGCTATTTCAGGCTCATTAGCCCTCATCAGCTAGTCATACCTTTCAGGGATTCAAACCTGGGCAGCTTGCATGTTAGGCAGCTGTATTACTCTTTTGAGCCACAGGTTCTCCCTTACTCCTGTCAACAGATTATATATATATGTAATTATATTATTAAATGTATATGCCACTCATCTCACTGATAAGGTGACTCTTTAAGGATCTCCTTTAGGAGGACATATTTTACTTATCTTAAAAAGGTAAAATAAAATAATCCAGGTGGATCACAACAAACAGATAAATGTGTAACAAGATATAAACTAGTATAATTGAGAACTATTTCTGAAACAATATATGCCTGACATATTTGCAGATATACAGATAAAACTCTTCTTGAAAAATTCCCAGCCAGAAATGATAGAAGAAAAATAAAAATATGAGTTGGTATTTCTACTAGTTAAAACACAGGTTGGAAAGAAAGTACATAGGATTAGAAAACACTGTATTTAGAAAATTTTGTCATGGCAAATGAACATTCTATTAAAAGTCATGGAAAGGACTTGTCAGGACAATGTAGATTTAGTCAGAAAATGATAAAAATAAAGAGTGGAATGCAGTCATTTGCAAGGGAATCATTATATTAAAGATGTAGATAGACTAAGGAAACTGCCAAGAATGGGAAAGCACACAAAATCAGGCATTGTATGATTTTTGAAAGATAAATGCCTATTTCATAGAGTTGGGAACCATGAATTAGAAGCAGAATCCTCTTCTTCCTAACTTGAAATCCTGTGCAATTTCTTATCCATTTATTTTTTATTGTGTATGAAGATAACTTTGGAGAATCATACATTGTTTCTGTAAAAACTCTTCTCCAGCATGATTGGATGGAGAACCCACGGATGGGTTGTCTTAATCTATCTGCTCCAATTGGACTAAGTCTGAAATTGGTAACGCCCCCTCTGTGCCAAGTGCACCCCAGTTTTAGACTTAGTCTCTTTGCTCTAAGACGCGTTTTGTCTTCGCTCCTGGAGCAGAAGACTGTTTAATTCTATTTAATTACTTAGCTCAGGCTATTATTATTTGTTATTTTATTATTGATTCAGAATCAATTATATCTAGAAGAAAGATCAATTATCCCAGTCTGAAGCCTATTCAGGCTGACAGACTCACAACCCTCTCCCTCTGGGGGGGGGGGAACTTTCCCCTTGTTTGTTTTCCCTCAGTTAGGGACAGCAAGATCAAACCTTTGATTTAAGGAGCCTCGTCAGGCCTGCAGGGAGCCTTCCCAGGTCCCTCGGCCCCAGCAGACAGCAGCAGGTGAGAATTTGGGCGCGGCCCAATTTTCAGAGCCGGGAGGGCCTGTCAGGCCTTGGACGACAGCTTTTTCCAGCCGGCCTAATCACATGCCACCAGCTGCTTTAGGAGCCCAGGCGATTCACCCGAACGAGGGCTCGTCGCAGCTTAGACCCTAGGCCTCAAGGCCTTCTTCCAACGGCCGTTTTTTAGGGCGCCGCCATTTTGAATTGCCTTCCGGCGGCCATTTGGGGTGTGGCTGAAGCCCCCGGCGGCCATTTTGTATGTGGTTGAGGCCCTCGGTGGCCATTTTGTGAGTGGCGGAAGTCACTGGTGGCCATTTTGTGTGGGGCTGAAGCCTCGGCGGCCATTTTGTTTGTGGCTGAGTCTCCCCCCAGGGGAATTCCCAAGTCAGATTCAAACCTAACAGTGGCTTCAGGGAGGGGTATAACCGGTCAGGACACCTCAGGGCCCCAGGCCACATTCACCCCCACTGCAGCAGGGCTTCGCCCTCCATGAATTAGAAGCAGAATCCTCTTCTTCCTAACTTGAAATCCTGTGCAATTTCTTATCTATTTATTTTTTATTGTGTATGAAGATAACTTTAGAGAATCATACATTGTTTCTGTAAAAACTCTTCACGTCAGCTATGCCTTTTTGCTATAACATATATCTGTTCTTCCTCTGCTTTTAATGTAGTCACATTAAGATAGCTTCATTTAAGTAATGTAGAATTTTCTACCTTTCTCTTTCACATTTCATTTTCAGAACACTTTTCTGCTTGACAGAGGTGTTGAAACTTTTAAGAGAGCCAAGCTTTGAAATTAATGGAACTCTCATTAGAAGCACCTTATAGAAAAATCTCACAATGAGCTGATTATATGATTAGGCTGAAGGATGAGAAAAATGCAGTCATTATTAAAATGCTCTTTTTCAAAAAAACAAAAACATTTTTGAAATGGAGAATTTTTTATAGGTTTTGGTAATACCATAAGAGAGGCACAGGTAGGAACTGATAGGAAATGGAAAATAGAGTATTTGTACTGAAATGAAAAGATAGGGAAAATGTAAATCATTAAAATTATATGCTTAGGTCATATATAGGTGCAGTGGTTAGAATGCAGTACTGAAGGCTAATTCTGCTAGCAGTTTGATTCTGACTGGCTCAAGGTTAATTCGGCCTTTCATCCTTCCAAGGTCAGTAAAATGAGGACCCAGGTTGTTGGAGGTAATATGCTGACTCTGTAAACTGCTTAGAGGGGGGTGTAAAGCACTGTGAAGTGGTATATAAGTCTAAGTGCTATTGCTATATATTAATATATTATTTATAGATCATCCAAAGAGATTTGATCTTATATTCTTGAAATAAAATTTTCATAAGGGAAAACATTATCAAATATAATTGGAAAGATCATTCTATGAAATATTTGCTTTGAGACTGTTTATCCCACACATAACAACCAAAAGTTATTGGCAATACATTCTGGCATTGGGGTTTTTAAAAATATTAGGAGAGGATGACCCAGAACATAAAGCAATAACATATTTGAGAGGATAGAAATTTCTGGAGCATTTGTGTAACTTATCATTGGTTGACCCAATGTCAGGTTTAGATTGTTTTTGTAATTTGTTTTCATGATTCAATCATAATTCATTTGTCATGATTCCATATACACATTTTTGAAGAATGAGGACTATTAGATAGATTTAGTTAATATAAATTAAATAATAATGAAGGTGATGAATGAATCAGACTTAATGTCAGAATTCATCATCCTGAAAGAATCTGTCAAGGAATCAAATTATGCCAGACAGTAAAAGCAAGAGTGATATGTCCGCTTGGAAGGGACGGGGAGTGACAGCTGGCAACCATTTTCAGTTTTTGCTCGGTTTTGCAGTTGGCAATGTAGTTGGAATGTATTTGGCCCAGATCTATGATGTTCCAAACATTGCAAAGAAGATTGAAGACATCAAGAGAGATGTAGAAGTTAAGAAGAAGCCTCTAAGTGATAAATTATGCTGATTTAGGCATCCTACTATTCAACATAGATGGTGTACTTTAACCAACCAGCCTTAAGTGTCAAACCTTTATTGACTTTAATGAATGCTCCCATGCCTGATCTCAGAGGGCCTTAAAAAGCATTCTGGCTTAATGTTACTATATCCTTGTGGCTTCATGCACTTGACTTTTTTCCAAAGAAAAAAAATATCCCATACAGTATATATACAAACTGGACTTTTGTTCTCCGTTTATTGCTTCAGTAATACTTTATATTTAATAATAAGAGCCAGAAACAGAATGAAGGTATGCCATTAATTATTCCAATCTAAAAAATATAACTCTACAAATATTGGTATCTATTTGTAAAACATTAAATATCTGATAAAAATGCCCATCTTGTTGCTGAAATATGACCTTTCTATTTGCTTGTTGGGCATTCCTGCAACATGTATAGTCAGCATGAATTGAATGTCAAACATTGAGCAGTTTATAGAGGTATGATACCCAATATGCTTTATCCATTGTTTGTAAAAATCATTAAAAAAATTAAATTTGAATAACTTAAATGAATTGTTCCAATGTATCAACAATATACTCATCTTCCAATTCTTAGTTGGTACTTTAGTTTATAATATTTCTAAGGGGTTATAACTAGAAATTGATGTAATCCTGCACTTGCATTCTGATGATGAAAACATGAATCATACTATGCAAAATTATTGGCTTGTATTTTTCCTGTCTTGTATCTATTGTAGCCAGGGCTTTTTTTCTCATAGAACGCCCAGAATGGAGTTCCGGCACTTTTTTTGGATGGAACCTTGTAGGGTAGGCAAGGCGGGTTGTATGATGTATGTAAGTTCCAGCACCTTTTTTTTAGGAAAAAAAAGCACTGGTTGTAGCCCTTCTTGAAACAAAGAAAGATGCATTAATTTAAAGATGGCAAAAAACCCGATGCTTCATAATATTTAAGCTGGATGATCATTGCTGATAGTGCATTTCTTATGTTGGGGTAAGCATACTTATTGTAGCCCTCTCATCCCCAAACATTTTTGTACCCTATTCTGATTGATCGCTCTATTAAATTTTGTTAATGGAACTGCTGAAAATTGGCAGTATGAAACAGGCTTAGTGTGATTTAAAAACAATCATATCCCTAATTCATGTCTCCTACTCTACTGAAACTCTTCCTCACTATAAATATGAAAGTTTAGGTTTTGGCTTCCTAAGGTTTAATAATGGACTAGATAATATGCTTTTGGCCAGATTAACTTGGAATCTAGAATTCTAGTTTTGTGGCATATGCTAAATGGATTACCTGCATATTTACATGAGAATTATTTGCATTTGTTTTCTTCATTTGTTAAACAGCAAGTTTTGATATTCATAGACGTGGGATTATAACAATGCTCCTATACTCTATTGAGTATAACTTTATGGAATACTATGTGCATTCAAAAATGTGTGTATTGTAACAATAAATAAATACTAAACTATAGTGACAAATTTCAGTTTTTAAAGGCTGTCCAATTCACAGTGATGTCATTGAGAACCTTTTCCCCTTGACTTTTTAGTTCTTTATGTGGAGTTATATTCATCACATTAAACTTGATGTGACTTTTAGGATCATAATAGCAAAGATTCTTTTTATATTATCATTTTTGAGACCTTGACCATCACATATAGATGCAGTGTTAGGGCATTGTTATCAATTTTCTTCTCTACAGAATACGAAGTGTTTGGATAAAATTGCTTGATTTCCCCACCAATCTAATTTTATCAAAAACAAATTCTTTCTTTCTTTCAGAATCTTGTCTATATGGGTAGAGGGAAAAGTGAACTATTATCCCAATTAACACAAATTTTCAGAAAGGAAAAGAATTAGCTTTGAGAGATCAAAGCTAATTTTACATGAAGCAGCGTGATTTTTTTCCCTCTCGATTGCATATTTGTTACCATTAAATCAATGGAGTTATTGCCTTATGTCATGGTCTGCAGAGTTTGTCTTTAGAATACCAGCCGTCTTCTGAAATTTACAAATGGTATTTTGAAGAATTACAAAAGTTCTTTCTCATGTCTGCAAAATATGAAGGTTTAAACAGTACACATGATGGTACAAAATAAAAAGAGTGATATGCTTAAGAGATATAGGAAAAGGCAAAGTCAAAACTCTACAGTAATGAGTTGAAAAGGAGGTCTTTGGAAAAAGCTAGTGGAAGATTAGTTTAAAAATCAAATTAGAAGAACATAGGTAAATATGAATTAATTACTCAAGATATCAGGAAAAACTAAACTATGATATAAAATGCATATTTATTATGATGGGCAGACCTCAGGTGTTAAATTTGGTGCTCGCTGAGGCATCGACAATGCAGCAGGTGAACAAACAACTCTTTATCTAAAGTTTAAACAGAAGCCTGGATAACTGCCACTCCACCCCTATTTATACACTCAGCAACTAGATGGCAGCCAATAGGATTCAAGTATTAGTTCCTGCTTTTAACACAAGTAATTAGCATGTAGACAGAAAGTCTGGCCCTTAACTGACAGAGTCTTATGACCATTTTTTCAACATTTCCAAGTAATTCACCTCAATACATTACACCCCTTCCCCCTAGATAGTTCCTAAGGACATTTGTTGAACATATTCCCTTAAATACATTGGTGGCCTTTTCACCCTTTCCGAACGCCTCAGAACTGCTGGAGGCCCCCAGTCTTTCAGCTCACCTACCAGGCTTGGAAGACTGGAGCTGGGGCCCATCTGTCATGGGTGGAATCGAGTTTCTGTGGCTGGTCTGTCCCGGTAGACCCGAGCCAGTGTCCATAGGTGGAACAGAGTCCACCAGTCCTGAAAATGGAGCCATCTGCTAGCATTGCCCATTGGTTACAGTATCAGTGGTTGGGATGACTCACTGGATGCTTGAGTCTTGTCCCTTAGTCGGAAAGCTCCGCCATCGCTAGCAGCATCAGATGCACTACTGCAATCATGCTGCTCCAGAGTTTGACTGTCACTAGAGTCATGAGTTATTGGCTGGGTTGCTAACCTCCACCGCAGTTGGTCACTGTGTCTGTGTAGCATGCAACTGTCTTCCAGGACCACTTCATATGAAAGTGGCCCAGTCACCTTACAAACCACAGCTACCACCCACAATGCCCCTTGCCCATAGTTCCTCACCCAGACCGGGTCGCCAACTTGTAAGTGCCGTGGTGCCTTTGGCTGTGTTGCTTGTGAGGCAACTCTATCTGGATGTAAGTGATCCAGCTTTGTGATCAAACATTGGCCCCATCTTAATTCTGCTGGACTTCTGCCCATGGGGTGGTGTGTTGGCTGTGGGGTGGTGTGTTGGCAGAGTAGGAAATCTGCCAGTCTGTGCTGCCAGTTACCAGTTACTATCTTCTTCAAGGATTCTTTAGTTGTTTGAACCATGCACTTCGCTTGGCCATTTGAGGCCAGGTGAAAGGGGGCTGATGTGGCATGCCTGATCATGTTAGCCCTTAAAAAGGACTGAAATTCTGAGGCAGTAAATTGAGCCCCATTGTCTGAGACAATCACATCGGGTAACCTGTGTATGGCAAAGATTCTCCGCAACTCCTGGATGGTCCTGGCAGTATTCATAGTGGGGACAGGTGCGACCTCTAACCACTTGGAGTGACTGTCCACCACAATGAGGAAGAGTTGTCCCTGGAAAGGCCCTGCATAATTGATGTGGATCCTGGGCCAGGGGGCATGTGTGATTTCCCATCAGTGAACTGGGACGTGGGGCATCTCTGGCCTAGATTGCTGGCAAATGTGGCAGCTGTGTACCTGAGCCTCAATATCTTTGTCCAGCCCAGGCCACCAAAGGTAGCTTCATGCGAGTGCCTTCATCCAGAATATTCCCAGATGTCCCTCATGCAGAGACTCCAAGACTCTAGTCCTCGGTGAATTCGGGACTACAACCCGACTACCGCACAAGACACACCCCCTGTGAGCTGACAACTTGTCCTTCCTTCTACTGAAACTTTGGAAGTTAGGCCCTGGACTAGTTTCTGGCCACCCTGTGAGCACTCAGTTCAACACGCGGTTTAGTGTTGTGTCTGAAGCTGTCTCCGCAGCCACGTCCCCTGCATTAAGGGGAGACTCAGGCAGATCCTGGATAACCAGTATGTGCGTGACTGGAGCAGGGTCGGGCTCTAAATGAGGCAAAGGCAGTCTAAGACCGTCTGCATGGCTCATTTCCCTGGTTTATGAATCAAACTGAAATTATATGCTGACAGGAATATTGACCATCTCAACATCCTAGGAGATATGATCTGGGATGTTTGCTTGTTCATTGTGAACAACCTCAGGAGTGGCTTGTGGTCTGTGAAGACAATGAAGGGCCTACCATATAGATAGTTATGAAACTTCTTGATCCATGCCACTGTGGCCAAGGCCTCTTTATATATTTGAGCGTAATTACGCTCTGCAGAGGACAAGGTCCTCGAGTAATAGGTTATTGGACTCTGCCTTCCATCAGCCATTAAATGACACTGCACAGCACCAGCCCCATATAGTGACACATCACAAGCGATGCAGACAGGCAGCTTTTTGTTAAAATGCATCAAAACGGAGTTTGAAGACAGCAGTGATTTGACTGCTGAGAAACTCCTATCATGGACATTGGCCCACTTTCACTGTGCATGTTTGTCCAAGAGCCGGTGTAACGGCTCTGCCACTGTGGCCTCGTGAGGTAGGAAGGCATGATAAAAATTGAGCAGTCCTAGAAACACTTGGAGCTCCCCCTTTGATTTTGGACTGGGGGCCTGCTGAATTGCTTTGAGCTTGGATTCAGCAGGATGAATGCCTCGGGCATCTATATGGAAACCAAGGAACTCAGTTGAAGCTACCCCAATCTTACATTTCTCCCACTTTAGCTTCAGCCCTACTTCACAGAAGCGCTAAAGGACGACCTTGAGCTGTTCTGGCAATTTCTTGACTGATTCCCCAGCTATGAGGACATCATTGAAATATGGGCACATGCCTGAAATACCCTTGAGCATGCACTCCCTCACTCCCTGGAAGAGCCCTGGGGCAACAG